CAAAGAAGTGATTTTGGTTTCTTTCTCTTATGCACAATAATATCTATTGCTGTGCCTTCCAGAGTTATTGTGAGGATTACCAAAGTAAGGTGTTTGAAGTTGTTTGAACAGCCCGAAGTTGGAATGACTTTGCAGAGGTCCCTTTATTTCTGAATCTGTGATTCTGTAAAGAGTAACTAATTCTGATTGTTCATGAAAACAAAAGTACTTGTGTCAATTTAGATTGGTTTATGGTAGAATTAACTTGATCTGTTACACAGATCTGTATGTATGTACATCTGTATGTATGTGCCAGGGAATGATGCTCTTAACATCTCCCAAAGAGGAAGTTGCTGTAAGCCAGGATGCTATGTAAACTGTCAAAAGATACATATTTATAATTCCTATCTTCATCATCATTTACAAGCATACAAGGTTTTTTGTTTTGTTTTGTTTTGTTTGCATTCCACGTAAGATTTTGTGTGGATTTCCATGTCTGATGTACATTTTTTTCTTCTCTCTTACGTACATCCATACAAATATTTGCACATCTGTCAAGCTGATGGTGGCTGAGCTGCCCATCTAAGAGCAACTGGATGGGAGGGGTTTAGAGAAGCAAGTGGGTGGTGGTTTGCATTTAAGTAGTGGTGGTTTAAGGAGAAGGGTCCTTGTTGAGATGCAAATAGCCTTTCAATTTCCTGAACTTTGAAAATATCCCAGTTGCCACATGGCCAGAAAGGAGGAGGGGCCTGCCTGCTAAAGATACCCTCCCCATACCATCTTAATTAAGAACAGAAAGAACAAAATGAAGGCACCTGACTAACATCTCAAATTCTCTCCTGCTTTATTTGTAACACTTTGCCTGATGAAGAAGCCAGTGGAGCTTCGAAAGCTTACAACAAGCATATTGTGCATTGCAGTTGGTCAATAAAGGTATCGCTGTTTGGTGGATTTTGTTTGAATTATTTAAAAGGGTGTTATCAATGACATGATAATCTTGTCAAAGGGGAAACCTTGACCTTTTTTAAAATCACTGCACCATACCTGAGATTTCCATTGATTGCCTGGTTCCTGGGGAGTTTTTTAAATAGTCCTATATTATTATGCACAGTACTGAGCAGAGGCAGTGACACTCAGCAGTATCCTGGTGTCTCCAGTCTCCAAGTGGCTTCTTAGTGACCTGCCCTGCTTCCAAACTATGCAGCCATGTCCTGTATATAATCTAGAGTGAAACAAAGGCAAGGCAAAACCAGGCATACAAGACAAGTTGATTAGCAAGCCAGTTGGGAGAGGCACTGCCTAAACCACAGATACAGGCACAGTACTACTTTACACTGGTTGAAATAGCATAGTGCTTTACAAAGGAATACAAGCAAAATGATGGATTCCTGTCTCAAAATTGAAGTGCAGGGGGACAAACAAGGAATAGAGGAAAAGGTATCTAAATTATGGAAGTTATAATAATGATAAGCATTTCCCACACTTTTGCTTATTTTTGGATGGAGATACCTTCAATGCATTAAATACTAGGCTCCCTCCTCCCTCAGAGGAAATAAATATGCAAATATAAATATGCAAATAAAACAGAGGATTTAAATGACTGTTTAAAACGGATGTTCAAAAAATTGTCTGCCCAGCAAGTCTCTTGTCTTACTCTGTTCCCCATTATCCTTTACACTCAAATTCACAAGCTAATCTTTAAACTGGTGTGAAGTTTCTAAAGCAGAATTGTTTGGGGAACAGCAGGATATCCTTAAATTGGAATATGCCTGTGCTATACTGTTGCTATAAAGAATGCATGGACTGATTTCTTAGCAGTCTGTGCAAGGGGCCTTAATTTTTCGTATTTATATTTTGTGTTACAAACTGAGCATAGCAGTCTGTACAGGGGCTGGGGGATTCAGGAAGCAGTCCAAAAAACCCCCAAAAAATATTTTTTCAAGATGTAATTAGAAATCTGGGTTGTATTTGTCCCCACTCCTAGGATTGCTTTCTCAGGGCTTCTGACAAAAGAAGGATTCCAGCGTGAAGGATAACAACTGGAGCAAGGTTGTGGCAAGGCACGTATGTGTGTGGCTTTTTATAATGGCTGCTGAGCACTGTTTGTTTTGCGTATGCATTCAGTAGCTTTAGATCCCTAAGCAAATAAGTGTTTTCTCACGTCAGCCATCTCCACCTCTTTTGTCAACAATGAGGAGAGCTCCTGGTTTTTTACAGAGTATTTTTCAATTTTTAGTTTTTACATTCTTATAAGTGGCTTTATAAGTGTGAGATTTTAAAAAAATATGGTCCTTTTTCCTTTTAAAATCTAGCATACGAGGCTGTTGATGCCCATTATAATGATTTTGATGGTTCTCTCCAGTTGGGGGTTACTCTTTTTAAGGACAGTAAGACATGTGACAGCCAATAACTATAGATCTTGTGGAACCAGAGAACTGCAGCCAAATATATATTTCAGATGCAATCCATCTGTAAAAATTAATGACATCAATCCCCTCTGCCCTGGAGGTGATTTGTGTCATCTCTGCCCTTAAAGCTCCATCTGTCTTATCCTTTTGTCTCCCCTCATTCATCATATCACATTCAAAGAAAAATCCATCAGTAATACCTTTATTGGCCAACCGCAATGCACAATATACTTGTTACAAGTTTTCGAAGCTCCATGGGCTTCTTCATCAGGCAAGATGTTACAAACCAAACAGGAGAAAAACATTTTAAATTTTAAGGATTTTAAATTTCCTGGACTTGGAAAATCTCCCTACAGCCACATGGACAGAAGGACCGGGAACCTGCCTGCAAAAGATATCCTTCCCCACCATATACCATCTTAACTAAAGATTGAAACAACATGTAG